ACTTAGTCCCCGATGTATTGGACCTTATCGCATAGTCAAGAGAATTGGCAATGTAGCTTATGAATTAGAGCTACCTCAAGAGTTAGCAGCAGTTCATCCGGTATTTCACATCTTTATGTTAAAGAAGTGCATGGAAAATCCTTCATTGATAGTACCAACTGAAAATGTTGGGATTAAGGATAATTTATCTTATGAGGAGATTCCGATTCAGATTTTAGATCGCCAAGTTCGCAAGTTGAGAACAAAGGAGGTCGCATCAGTCAAGGTCCTTTGGAGGAACCAAATTATTGAAGAAGCTACTTGGGAAGCTGAAGAGGATATGAAGAAGAGATATCCACATCTCTTTGAAACTGGAGAAAATGCGGACTAAGGTACTAATTCTCTTCTTAGTACTCATTGAATTATGAATGAGCATGTTGATTGTTGCTTTTACTTGTTGGGTGTTTGAACTAGATGTTAACACCCTTAGCTTAGTGAAATAAAGCTCATTCTAGGAAGAATGTTCCCAAGGGGGAGATATTGTAACATCTCGCACCTAGAAAAGACTATAAAGACTTTAATATATGAAAATATTGATTTTTGGAAAGAATAAGGAAATCTGGAAATTTTTGTCTAAGTTAAGAAAGTGAGTTTTGGCCATTTTCAAACGGCCATAACTCCTAGCTCAGGATGAGTTATGAGCAGCTATTGATATGGTTGGAAACCCTTTGGATATATCTTTCCAACGCCGCCAATTTTACGCGATTTCAACATTGTATGAGTGAGTTATGCCTTTCGAAAGTTGGGTGTTGGATTGAGGAAAGTCCCAATCCGGAATTAAGGAAGGGCAAAGTAGTCTTTTCTCTAATTTATTTCCTAATTCATTTTAGGGATTTATTGGGGTAAAAACTTATTTTTTTGTCAGATTATAAAAATTAAATTCACACTTATGGCTGGAGAAAAGAGAAAAAAAGAAAGAAAGGGAGAAAAGCCTAGATTTCGCCAAGAACGTCAAGCATTTGGAGTGGAATTCATCTGGGGTGATCCCTATTAAGGTATGTGAGATCTTTCGTGTTGGGTTAGTTCACCCACACACCAACTTGTTTCAATCCAATTGTTTTGAGTTGTTTACATGTTGAAGAAGTAAGGTTCTTGAAGAACAAATTGTAGAATTCTTGTTGGTTGAGTTGTTGATGCTTGGGGGTGAGTTGATTCATGTTTTCGAGTTTTTTTCCGAGTTAGATTGGTTGTATATTGAGGGTACAATTGATCCTAACTGTTTGGGGAAGGAACTATGAAAGTTAGGGAGGTTTAGAGATGAAGAACGGAAGAGAAAAGTCAAAAGTTGCTAGGCAAAAAGGGTTGGGGCGTCGCGCCTGCCAAAGCGCCACAAAAACTTCTCTGAAGTTTGGCCTCTGGCGTGTCGCACCAGCCAGAGCACCAATCAAACTTCTCTGAAGTTTGAGGGCTGGCGCCCCGCTCCTCTCAGAGCGCCAGGGACTCCAGTTCTCCCCATTCGTTCCCCACCTTTTCGTACTAGTTCATAAGTGATGTACCTATGTTTCCTAGTTGATTCTAACACTCTAAGGTACATCTAAACATACTGAAATCATTCATAAACATGAGATCATGAACCTTGAATCCATAATCCAATTCAAGGAAAGTTAAGATCAAAGTCAAAGAAGTTAAGATCCAAGTCTAGAAGTTAAGAAGCAACTCAAAACAAAGTTTTTTAAAGTTTTCAAGAGTCTTTAACAAACGTTTCAACTTCGTTTTAAAGCTCACGTTTCAAGTAAGCAAAGAGTAAAGAGTTGAGTCCACTTCTCAAAAAGCTATAAGGGAACCAAGTATTCCCAAAGAGTTTATAAATATTTTCACATTTGAGCAAGAAAAAGGGAACATCGATTCCAAGAGAGCTTTTAAGCTAAGTTTTGAGTAATTATCTTAATTCAAAGAAAGAGTTTTGTTTTTACAAACATATGAGCTAAGTATATTTTGGGAGTAGTATTGAGCACCGATATGGGGATGCAAGTTGATATTAAATCAAGTCTCCATAAACCATGTAGCCATCAGGGTAGTAAAAGATCATACTTTTTAGATGACTCATTAAGATGTTTTTAGCATAGACTAGTGGATCCACTAAGTTAAGTGTTCTATATGATGGCAAAGTATAGGACAATTCTGGCAGCATGGGCAAGATGTTGTATCACCACTTAGGCTCATAGTGGTGGTTGTCGGTTAGAGAATCTCCCACAAAACTTATATTACTTTTATATATAAGTAAAGTTGAGTTTGTTATTGCTTTATCTTTAATGAACTAAGTTTTTTATACTGTTTTACAGGCTTTATATATATATATATATTGCATATATCTTATTGCTTTATATTGAGTTCAGTTATTCATGAGTTGTACAGAGCCAAGGTAAGTGTTCCTTCTTACTCTTTTCAAGCTTAAGTTGTTGTTTAGCAATCCAACTCGCATACTTGTACATTCAATGTACTGATGCCAACTGGCCTGCATCGTCTTATGATGCAGACACAGGTAACCAGGATCAGCATCCAGTGCCTCGTTGATCCAGTTGAATACTCAGAGTCAGTGGTGAGCCTCCTTGCATTCCGGAGGACTCTTTTATTCGCTTTCTAGTTTAGTTCATTAGGATGTTGTGAGGTTTGTCCCAACATCCATCTCAGTTGTTTAGAGGCTTCATAGACAGTTAGCAATTCAGTTGTCTTTACATTCTCATTCAGATGTTGTTTAAAGACTGAGTTGTTATTTTGGCTAAACTATTATTTCTCAAGTTATGCATGAGTTATATTTTCTTATGTTTAAGTCTTCTGCTGAGTTAAGTAAGCCAGGCCAAGGGTTCGCTTGAGGCCAACAATGGTCTTCGAGTGTCAGTCTCGCCCAGGGTGTAGGCTCGGGGCTTGACAGGTTTCTCTCAAACACCGATAAGCGGCAATGAAGTACAGTCTCCGCCTTAGTCCATTCACTCTCTTGAGCTGAATGTGTGGGAGAGGGTTTATGATTCACTCTCTCGAGCTGAACCCACGACAACCCAATAATCACTGACTATCGATTCAGTAGTTTTGGTTTTAAAACCTCTCTCTCAAGCAAGTCAAAAATACGAAGATAAAATTGTATTTGCAACTACAACCCCATTAAATTCAAACACAACTACTGAACGAAATCACCTTTAAACAGCGAATAAACAATCAATTAGCAATACCCAGCAGTAAATTCAACCCATATTCACGAAATCACACCCCAAGAATTGGGGTTTTAGCTAGACCTAATAAAGAGATAGAAATCGATACCGAAAAGTGTTTCCATCAAATGGGTACGATAGATATTATCTTTACACATGTCAAAGATGAAGAATCTTCAATACCCACTTCCAATTGCTTAGAAAATGGAAATCTTCAAAGCTAAGAAAAATTGTCTCCAAAAACTAAGTCCTAAAACTGAGTAATTCTAAAAATTGGTTCTGAATTGTAAAACTTGATACTAAACTAAAAATTCAAACAAGTATTTATAGTTGTCAAAAAGTGTGTTGCGAAGGATCACTCGGCGCAGTTAGTCGGGATCGCCGATCCACTCGGCGATCTGCCCTTTGGTCTGGTTCATTGCCTTTCTGCATTGGCCTCGAGAAAATTCAAGTTCTGTAACATTGGGCGATGGAATACTGCATCGCAGGATCGTTCGGCGACTCATCGACTGCTCCTTTATCTCGCCGACTCGATTTTCTCCTTCAGAGTTTGGCACACTAGAACATTAGGCGAGACCATAGCCATTCGGCAACTCGCCTAATGGCTTATGCTATCCTCAAGTTGTCTTTTCTTCGTTCTTTTCAGCTGCCTTGTTCCTTTTTGCCCAATAGTGTCCATGCTTTGTCTCAAACTCCAAATACCTGAAACTCAAGGATTTTCATCAGTTATTGAGACAAAATATGCATTTGAGGACACTAAATCTATCAAAATAAAGCCCTAAAAGAGTCCAAATCGTGGACTCATCAGATATACAGTAGAAAAAACTTTTATTTCTAATAATATTCTATTATTATCAATCTAAGTCTTCCCTCGTCTCAAGCTCATCAACCTACTCCTTGCAAATCACTGACAAAGATAATTTGATTTTGCATCACCTTTTTCCATATCTAGGGCACTTGTATATTGTCCTAAACAAATATATTGAATTTGGAGTTGATTTTTCAAATTTACATTCAATTGATAGTTATTATTCTCAAAAATCAATTTTTTTTATTCCAATAATTTCTTCTTTTTTAAAACAAAAATAATTTTCTATTAATTGAGTTACCATCTGATAAATCAACCCTACCATTATGTATTAATTACTACTGCTTATTAAATTTTTTTATAAATTTCCCAGAGATAATCCAAGAGAAAAAATTCTTTAATTTTGTAGATAAGGTTATTTATCCAATGATGATCTGAACAGGATCACCTTGATAACCATTTATAATTATAAAATAATACGTGTTGAGATAATGGCCGGTGTGACAAATCTTCCATTATATGAGATATCATGGCTATATTTTTAATTAGTTGATGTTTATCATGCTTAAACACATGCAAATGCATGGAATATCAAGACAAATATATGCAATTACCCCACTATACATATTGAAATCAAGAAAATTGATACTGTAATAATTAATTATGATATCTCATAAAATAAAGCTAAATCATCTCCTACTTTATTTTTTTGTTATAATCATTGAGTATTTAGTTTTTATTTCAGTACGTAAGCCCCATTAACATAAACGTTACAATATTTTTCCATTCTCAAAAATCAGAACATGAGTTTAGCATTCCTACCCAAGTTGGATATATAAACAAATAGCCTAGTGCCTAGTGGCCCATCCAATCATCTTCACTTGGTGTGCTCCTATTTTCACAAGTCCCAACTTGTACTACAAAACATATTACTATCATATAAACCACTTAATATAAAGTTGTTGATACAATATTCCATTTCCTCATCTTCTTTTGAATACCCCCCAAGTCTAACCAAGGTCTTGTGTGGATATGGGAAGGAAGTGTTCACATTGTGGTAATATAGGTCACAATTCAAGAACTTGTAGCACTTTCAAGTTAGGTGCTAGTGCTAGCTTTGTTGGTGGATTAAGGCTCTTTGGAGTGCAACTAATTGACATCCCTTCTTCATCTTCTACATCATCTTCCTCTTCTTCTTCTTCTTATGATATCCACTTGAAGAAAAGTTTAAGCTTAGATTGCATGTCTTCACCTCAAGTATCATCATCATCATCACTTGTTACTCTTAATGAAAAGAGTACTACTTGCACAAATGGAGATTATCTATCTGATTGTCTCTTAGGTCAACCACAAGAGAGAAGGAAAGGTTTGGAATAATTATTCATTTTTTAGATATAATTATTTGACCACTTTTTAGTGGGAAATGTTAGTATGAAAATAATGGTTAAAATCGTATTCAGTTGTCAAAAAATGAGATTGACAATGGATTTCAAAGAAAGCGGAGTTACATTTGCTTATGTAATATGCATCTTCTTCCTTGAGAAAGGAACGTGAATTTCTAAGGAACGCTTATTAAAAGTGATTTTGAATTAGGAGTTGGATGGACAAAGGAGGAAAATAGGAGATTCTTGATGGGACTAGAAAAGCTAGGGAAAGGAGATTGGAGAGGAATTTCGAGGAAGTTCGTCACAACAAGAACTCCAACACAAGTAGCTAGTCATGCTCAAAAATATTTCCTCAGACAATACTCAACTCATCTCAATAAAAAGAAGCGCCGTTCTAGCCTCTTTGACATGGTATGTCTCATAATATTTATAAGTCATTTTTCAACAATATATATATACTTTTCATTTTTTATTATATTTAGTCATACGGGGGGTAGTGTAAGTAGTTTAATTATAACATCTCCTTAGAGCTCATCACGAAGACAATTTTTTTTTATATAAAATGAATATTATTATCATGTGACATATATAGTTGAAATTTAATATGTGAAATGAACATGATACATAGGAAAGGAGGAAGAACAAAATGGAAGAAAGCAAGGAAGAGTATGGAAATTCAACAAGTCCAATTAGTATGATGGATGAAGAGATAGCATTAACAACCAAAGATACTCTAATTTGGTCTTCTTATTATGAATCCCCACTTAATTTGGAGCTAAGCCTAGCAGCTGCAAATACCTTTCTAATTGGAACTATTCCAGTTAATTCTAAACCAGATCAACTGCCTCTTAATTGTATATATGCTAGCTAATTAATGAATCTATCATGTATTTCAACTTACTTAATTATACCCTGTAATTACTACTTGAAAGTATGTATTTATATTTCAAGTATCTTATTGATTTATACAAGTAGAACGATATAAATATGTTTTTTAATTTGTCTAAATTATAAAACGGCCTGGATGAGAACAATGAATTATTTTGACTTTTTTAGCCCCACAAATCACTTAAAACCAAAGCTACTGAGTTCGATCGAATTCATACCCCAATATAAGAGAAATAGTTAACACTACTTTTTGCCTTGTTTTTTCAGAGAGTAAAACCCTTGTATTAGAACAGATCAAGAAAAAAAATTTAAAGGAATTTGGTCAATCAATTACTCGCACTTTTCACTTGTGCAATATAATGTTCAGACGAGGAACCTTCTTAATTAATACTCACCACTTTAATTTTGATTAATAAGCACCTTATTAATTACTTATATAGTATGCTTTTCTTCTCTCTTTTTTCTTTGTCGTGAAGGGAATCTATTTTAGGGATCTTTCTTTGGCATAATATACATAAATTTGCTACCAAGTTGTCAATTGTCACATCCCATGGTACATTCACTTTAAAGGAATAGTTCCTTCAACCAACAAGCACCCCCCTCCCCCAACCCAAACACACACATACACTTTAAACAGTAAAGAGCAAGAGCGTAAGATAAAATGTTTTATCTGATACAGGACGCGGCGTAAGCTTCAAGGTGGTAGGCATAAATTTTAATTTCATAAATTAATATAATAAAAATATGAAATTACATAACAATTTCAAAAATATATATAAAATAAGTGTAAATGTATATAGAATTACTTCATTTTAAAGTGGTAATCAAAATCATCAATTAACTTAAAAAAATAAATCGGAACTATTTATCTCAAAAAATTAATTAGACTTTTTATAGAAAATAATCGAGTAGAAATTTATAAATTAACAAGGAACCTACAATCAAAAAATCAACCAAACCCGAATAAGCATTAAAATGATGTGTTTTTACTTTGTAGTTAGCATATTGATCTTCTTCTTACCCAATGAAAAAGAATAAAAAAAATTAATTTTTAAGTTTAAACAGTAATTATGTAGACAACTGAATGAAAAAACAATATTGTATTTTTCTATTGTCTACATAATTTTGAACAAATAAATAATACTCTTAATCAGTGATTTCTTCAATTGCCTCTTTCTTTATTAAAGCTCATGCCCTTTTAACATATAATCTTTTTAGATTTCACCACTTACTTTTTTCGCATTTGATAACATTGAGGATTGAGCTCAATCTTAGTGCACTAAATTATAAGTTGAAAAACAAACAAGCTACGTATATAATACTTTAATTGTGTAAATCCTTTGATGAAAATTGTTCGCATTTGGCTTAAAGTGAAAAAAATATGATACCACGTTAAATGGACTAGGTTAGCTAAATAACGGGTCTAGATTTGCGATTTGAGCTAGTGTCGGAGCCAGATGATTGGGATTTGTGATGTGCACAATTCCAAAGCTCACTCAAATAAATAACAATGGATGGCAGCATCATTATATTTTGGCATAATACATAAACATGACCCTTAATTTGTCTTCAACGAACAACTATGCCCTCCAACTTTGAGTGTGCACAAGTAGGCACTTAAACTTGTATAAAATTGAACAAGTAAACACACGTGTCCTACATGACATAAGACACATAAGATGTCATGTAGGTTACAAAATTTCCATGTAAGGTGTCATGTAGGACAATTGTGTCAATTTGTTCAATTTTATACAAGTTTAAGTGTCTATTTGTGCACATCCAAAGTTAAAAGTCATAGTTGACAGCTAACGCCAAGTTAAAGGTCGTGTTTATGTATTATGCCTTATATTTTTTGGCCCACTCTTGCAAACTAGCTGTTACTTTTACACCTAGGACCACAGCTTTAAAGCTTTTTTCTTAATGCAAATTGAGTTAGATTGTCGTATCTATGAAACAAACATATGCACGACAAGTTCTGGATATAATGAATGAGTCCAGATATGGGATAAGGCAAAATTTGGACAGGTTTCGACCTTCAATGCCATATATTATGCTGCACATGTTTAAGATTCCTCATCATCCTACCATTAAAACCATTTTATTTCTAATCAAATTGAAAAAGTAAGAGTAAACTCTTTACAAGAGTTGACGTTTGGACAAACAGGGTCCACACATTTTTCTTTGGAAAATTACTTAGATTGGTACCTTTTAATAAATATTTACTGAGTTTAGCGATATTTTTTATTTATTACCATTTATAGCAATACTATGTTAAAACTGCAATATGTATTAAAAGTGAATTATGTATGCAATATATATGTATTATAATTGTTTTTAAAAATATATTATGCTTGTTTGGTAGGAAATTGACACATTGTATTATAAATGTATTAAAATGTGTGATAAATGTATTATCCATCAATAAAACTTGTATTATATGTGAATAATAAATTATTCTTTGTAATATTTATTATCAATGTATTAAAAGTGATCAAGTGAAAAAAAAATGTTATTGCTATAAATGGTAAATATTTTTTATTATAGTATATTTATGTAAGTTTCCCTTTTTCTTTTTAGTTAATCTAAAAAAAAATTGTTACATTTCTTTATTAAGTAACAATTTAATTTTAAGATACTCACTTTAGCCTTAATGAAATGATTTATAGTCATACAAACATTTATCACTTATTTTAAAACAAATTTCAAAAGTCGTACATGTCAAGTCAAACTAACTCATATAAAATAGGACGGAAGGTGTATTTGTTTAGTGTCTCTAAAACACTGCCTGTTGAAACAAATAGGAAAAAAGAACAAGAAGTAAAATGATACCCCATATTTAAAGTGATTTACCTTTTCTCATTTACTTTCGATTTCTTTGCGTTACTTCAAACTAATCAAGCACTTATAGCCAAAAAAGAAAAAAAGGAAAATACTGTCATTAGTACATAGAATTCTTGCTTCATACACACTTGCAAATAGATGGTGAGAAAGAATCTAACTCACTTCCAAAACCATGTGGGGTTATCAGGAGAAAATAATATAGTAGAAAGGATCTCTTAAAAGTAAACTTTGTAAAATTCATGTGTGTTCTTTCTTTAGCTTTGCTAGTTAGAATAGCAAATTCATTCTCAAGGAGGTAATGCCAAATATGATCATCTAGAGTTCTGGTGTTGGGAGTACATGCAACTTTATGCACTGCCTACCAACCAGAGAACATCAGGATCAGTTCCATACACAACTATATTTCTTACATTCATGTGTTCATCATCTATTTACAGACTACCCCACAAAAACCAACACTAACATCAAACTAGAGAATATAAACAATTGCATTACAGATGGACATCATCGTATGTAGCACCTAATTGGCAAGTAATCACGTATCAAAAAATAAATGCCAGAAAATGTTGGCAGATAGGTCAACAGCTCTATATTGTGCAACTCCTCCGATGTATCAAAGAAAACTACCCGGCATTGGTGCATAAGAGCTTCATGATTATAAACTGTCCACTCAGTCAACCTCCTTTGCTCTCTTGTGTGATTTTCTTTTGCTGTTGCTTTTTTTTTATGCAACTATCATGAATCACGGGATCCTTGGATCAGTACACTGATGCGCTTAGAACTGTCTGCGCGTAGGATATCTCCTTTGGGTCCAATCTGGGATGAAAAATCATTTCCAACATCTCAACTTTAAACACAGGCAAGTATTCAAGGAAATGTAACCAAGAGAGCTGATAGCACTGCAAAAAGACCAGTCATTTTTTACACAGGAAAAGTTACCTCATTTGGAATTTCAGGCGAGAACCACCGCAGTAGTACTCCAAGATGCACAACAGCAGGAATTAGCTTGAAAAGCAAAGGCGTGGTCACCTGTAGCATTGATTTGGTGCATTCAAATATTAGGATAGAAAACAAAAATGAAAGATTAAATAGAAGATAAAATTTATTACTGTTGAAACCTTTTCCTAAATCTCCATATTGGCCCATTTAATAACTCATAAGTTGTCTTCATCACCAAATTATTAGTTTAGTTGTCAAAGACACATTGCAGTAACACTTATTCCAGGTTTGGCTGCTAACTCTCACCAAAGCATTACAAATATAATTTCCAACCTAAGCGTGATTCATTGGGTATGTTGTTGTATCTTTACTTCGGATAAAACATTCAAAATTCAGACTCCCAAAGAAAGGACTGCCAAACTACACATACTAAGAAGTGGAGAGTGTTCTGGTAGTAATGAAACTGAGCTTTTAAAACCCATGTTGAACACACTACTCAATGGACTACCCTTTCACAAGCCAACTTTTAGCGCTACTCAATACTCTTCCTGAACTAGGCGTATTTGAGCACTAAACAACTTTTATTCCAAGTTTGGCTGCTAGCTCTAACCAAAACTCCTTAATGTAGTGCTCAGTACTCACAAGTCTTCCATATTTTTTTAAGCAGCAGCTCTTTACCTCCCAAAGAAAGCATGCATTGTCACATGTCCAGATTCTCATCAATTTACACTCAGAGAAAGGTAAATAAGTATCAAAGCAAGAAGGCAAGCAAAACGTACAACACTCTCAGAAGTATATAAGATACAGTAACTGTTGCTAGAAAAGAGAATAAACAGTAAACATACCAAGCTAAGTGCAGTAGTGCCCAGAAGCAACATATACACTTTACCCTGCAGCATGACCGAATTTCATTACTTATCTCAAATCAGTAGTCAGAAAACTCAACAATGATTGATTATACATAATCGAGAGTTGCAACAAGGAAAAAAAATACTAGTACTTATTAGTAATTCCATTTCGATACCATCTAGTCACACAAAATAACTACAAAATGGTAATTGAAGGGGCTAAATAATTCAGCACCTCAATTAGATGCAGATTTGAAGCACGGCTAAGAAGAACAAAAGCAAACTCTCCTATTTGAGCCAGAGACATTCCAACCTGGACATACCATACAAAAAAGAGTCAGTAATGCAAAATTATGGAGAACAGATACAAATAGATGCTTTGTATACCAAAAAGAGTTCAAAAATTATGACCTCATATGATCTGGAAAACTTACAAGAATTGCAGCCTTATTGGTGTAGCCAAAACCCTTGACAACTGCCGCAACTACTATAGTTTTTATAACAATGACCAATATAACAGCTGCTACTAAGATATCGATGTGATTCCAAAGAAAATGAACATGGATAAGCATTCCAATGCTAGCTAGAAAAAGAGCAGCAAAGAAGTTCCGTATAGGTTCAACCTGAAAAAAAATGAAAACCCAGCTAAGAACAATGCATGTAGAGCAGATGATGTAACAATCTAACCATAGCCAAGAGTATGTGAAACCCACATCTTCCAACATGCCTACAGCTCTATGAAACTGTTAGAGAAAATCATTTCCTCAAAGAAGGCAAAAATATATAATCTCATATGGAATATTATATAATTCTGGAGAATTAAGTGCCCAAATAGAGCAGAAAAAGTCCTATAGATAAGGAAAGTTATCCCAACTCCTAAAGATGGAATATTATATAATTCTGGAGAATAAGAGTCCAAATAGAGCGGAAAAAGTTTTATTGATAAGGAAAGTTATATCTACAGGAGGATCTTTATTTTCTCTCAATGAGCCTCACCAGGGCTATGCTAGGTTGATTAGGCTGGGAATGAGAAAACAGACAGGAAATCCCACACTGCTCATTGCACAAGAAATGCTTGTTTAGTGCTCTAGTACTCCACATTGATTTCCATTAAGGTTGAGTCACATACATTGGATAATTGGAAAGAATATTTTTGAAGGCATATCTAGAAATATACTCCGCCTTAAATTTAGATCTCTTTGTTAGCATTTTGGTGCAACCTGGTCTTAGTACATGATCTAGATTAGGGGTGACATGAGTGGGTTGAGGCTTGCCTCCGGAGTCTTATGTGATAAGAAGGAACCACCAAAACTTAAAGGTAAGGTCTACAAAGTTGTGGTTAGACCAACTATGTTGTATGGGGCGGAGTGTTGGCCAGTTAAGAAATCTCATGTCCAGAAGATTAAAGTTACGGAAATGAGGATGTTCAGATGGATGTGAGCATACTAGGAGGGACAAGAATTTGAATGAAGATATTCGGGACAAGGTAGGAGTGGCCTCAGTGGTGGACAAGACGAGGGAAGCAAGGTTGAGATGGTTTGGGCATGTGAAGAAGAGAAGCGTAGATGCCTCAAGAAGGAAGTGTGAGAGGTTGGCAATCGTGGGTGTAAATACAGGTAGAGGTAAGCTGAAGAGGTATTGGGGAGGTCATTCGATAGGATATGACGTATCTTTGACCTTATTGAGAACATGGCCTTAGATAGAAGGGTTTGGAGGTCGCGGATTAGGGGAGAAGGTGAATTGGTAGTTGAACGATCACTTGCTTTCCTGCTAGATAGGCTGGGTGATCTTATATGTACTTGTTTTCTTACCGGTAGTTTTAGCACTATTCTCGTAGTTTCATGTTTTTCTTTTTCTATTACCACCGGTGTTTCCGATACTTTGTTTATCACATTATTTCGTTGTTGTTACTGTTATATTTTCTGAATGCTATGTATTGTTTTCTATTTTGCATTCATATGTTGTTACTGCTTTCATTTTCATATTCCCTTTTTTCCTTCAAACTGCTTTTACTCAAGCCAAGGGTCTTTTAGAGACACTTTTTCTATCTTTACGAGGTAGGGGTAGGTTTGTGTACACACCACCCTCACTAGACCCCACTTGTGAAATTACACTGGATATGTGTTGTGGTATTTCCAAACCTTTATAGACTTACTTTGCTGCCTAGGACCTGTTTGGCCACCAATAAAGAACATGAAGGTTGGAATTTCCACTTTAGAAGATTCTTGAATGACTGGAAAATGGGAAGGCTTGCTGAATTTTTGGCTACAGTAGAACCTTTTCAAGGTCTGGACAATAATAACAACCGTGACAAGCTAATTTGGAAGATTCTGTGGAATAAGATTGTTGAATAATTTCATTCTATGTCATATACATGGCTTTTATATATACATAAGAGATTGTGGAATAGAATGACCTAAATCCCATGAAATTTGGGATTATACAGAATCATATATTTTACATTAAGAGAAAGAACCAAAGATATGATATTCTAGATTACCACAATTATCCTAAAGATCTTAAAGGATCATATCTTGATATGAGGAATATCTTTCCAGCTTAGACGATTATATCTTGATAACAAGAATATCTTCTTGGAAATCCTCTATCAGCCAACACTCCCCCTCAAGTAGGTGAATGGATATCTTCCATTCCTAGCTTGCTTATTAGATCTTGAAACACATTGTTTGGCACTCCTTTTGTTAAAACATCAGCTACCTGATCTTTTGTAGATACAAATGGCGTATAAATGAGTCCGCTATCTGATTTCTCCTTAATGAAATGTCTATCTACCTCAATATGCTTAGTGCGATCATGTTGTACAGGATTATGAGCTATACTTACTGTTGATTTATTGTCACAATATAGTTTCATAGGTCATTCGCATCTTATCTTCAAATCATCAAGGATTATCTTTAACCATAACAACTCACAAGCTCCCATAGCCATAGATCTAAACTCGGATTCAGCACTTAATCTTGCTACTACATTTTGTTTTTTACTCCTTCAGATTTCCTCCTAAGCAAGTGCAATATCCAGAACTTGACCTTCGATCCACTAATGAACCAGCATAGTCCGTATTTGTATAAGCCTCTAAAATCATGTCTCCTCCTCTTTTGAATAATATTCCTATTCCGGACTTCCTTTAAGATATTGTAGAATCTGGTTGACAGCTTGAAGATGCATTTCTCTAGGATCATGCATAAATTGGCTAACAACACTTACAACAAATGCAATGCCTAGCCTTGTATGGGACAAGTAAATCAATTTCCCTGCAAGTCTTTGATACAAGCCTTAGTCTACCACAGAACCTTCTGGAGCATTGCACAATCTATGATTATATTCAATTGGTGTAGCCACTGGTTTACACCCTAATTTTCCTGTTTCTTACAGCAAATCAAACACATATTTTTGTTGGGAATAAAGATTCTTTGTTTTGAGCGTGCCACTTTGATTCCCAAAAAATACTTTAATTTCCCAAGCTCTTTGATGTGAAATTCTTTGAGTAAACACTTCTTCAAATTTTGTATCTCCTCTGAATCATCACATGTTACTATGATGCCATCCACATAAACAAACAATGTTGTCACCTTTCCTGTTTTTGAGTGTCGTGTGAACAAGGTGTGGTCTACTTAACTTTGTCGATACCCTAGCTTGATCATAACCTTTGTAAATCTTTCAAACCATGCACGAGGTGATTGCTTTAATCCATAGAGTGCCTTCTTCAGTCTACACATCATTCCCTTCTTGCTTTCAAAACAAGGTGTCACCTCTATATATAGATCTCCTCATCTAAGTCTCCATGTAATTTCATGTGGAATAAGATTGTTGAATAATTTCATTCACATGTTTCTATGTCATATACATGGCTTTATATATACATAAGAGATTGTGGAATAGAATCACCTAAATCCCATAAAATCTGGGATTGTACATAATCATATATTTTACATTGAGAGAAAGAATAAGAGATATGATATTCTAGATTACCACAATTATCCTAAGATCTTAGAGGATCATATCTTAATATGAAGAATATCTTCCCATCTTAGAGGATCATATCTTGATAACAAGAATATCTTCTTGGAAATCCTCTATCAGCCAACAAATTCATAGTAAGGAAACCTTCACAGACTTCAGTAAAGTCATGTTAATTCCACTTCAATTCTGGTGGGCAGCAAAGGGGTCTTTGGCCATGGAAGCAAACCTGAAAAACAAATGCACCACACAAAGTGGCTTCTTTCACTTGGTTGGTAGTGTGAGAGAATTACTTAACCCAGCAAAACCTCCAAAACGTAGGATTTCAATTGTGCTCTAGATTGTTATCAATGTGGAGACAAGGCTGAAAGTATCAATCATTTATTATTTGCTTCGTCATCTTACGGACCAGCTATGGCAATTCTTTCTGAATATGGTGAGAATAAAATGGAGCATGCCAGGGTTTACTTATGAGCTACTAAATGTTGGAGCATCAGAGGAAGGATTCCAATCAAAGGAAATGGTGGAAAACCACTTCGGCATGCATATGGTGAACAATGTGGAGGAATGACATGATCGGTGTTTTTTTTTTATGACAAGGGAAACCCGCAGTCGCTACCTTTTGGGTGCGCAAGGTAAAACCCCCGCTCCTATGCAATAGCTCGCAAACCACATAGGAGAGGTAACTCGCACTAGGCAAGCCCAGTGCGACGAGCTCGACCCTGAAGGCAAACCCCTTACTTTCGCTGGCAAGGGGTTTCGAACTTGAGACCTCCAACATGGAAGTCCCAAGCCCAAACCATTGGGCCACCCCGAAGGGTATGATCGATGTTTTGAAGATCAAGGAAACTCTATTCAGAAAATCAAGATGAATTGTTTACTTTTGTTTCATTATTGGTGTAAACAAGGTGTTGTAAATGGAAAAGGACAAAAACTGCCCCTGCTCTATTGGATTTGGTTTAAAACCCATACCATACTCTGATGGTTCAACTCCTAAGCAAGTAACAAGGTCCAAATATTGCCCAACGCACTAACAACAAAAACCGAGTCGGGGTATTTGAACCTTTTTAATTGCTTAGGGGTAATATTTGAACCATTTGAATTGTTCAGGGGCATGTTTAAAATTATTTCATTTGCTACTAAATTTGAATATCTCATCCACTTGGCATAAGACACAACTGAAGAAAAATATTAAGAAGTATAGGCTAAAGTAGAGAGAAGTATTGAAAACATCCCTAAACTAGGCGCAAATTATTAGTTTCATCCTTAAACTATTCATAGCCTTAAAAACACCCCTTTACTTGACTAACTGAACTTAAATACACCCTCGATCTTGCAACATCAGTGAAATACACCCCTAAATTCTCGTCAAATTTAGGGGTGTTTTTAACACTTCTCTCGGCAAAATAGTTTGGGCTACTTCAATATGTTATATTGTTTTCTGACTTGAGGGATAGTGGGAAAACAAAATCTAACTCAAATAATTAGATTAAAGCAATTCTCTCTCCTCTCCTCTCTCTTCTCTCTCTCTCTCTGGTATTTCCGACCGAAATCGAAGGCTGCGCCGGCCAGAAGCAACGTGAGGACCAGCTCCGACCGGCGAGCCTCTTTCTCTCTCTCCTCCTAAGCTCCAGTGAGGACGATA